AAGTCAGCAGATCAAATCCACCAGTCACTTGAGGGAAACAGAGATGAGGTTGTTTGCCCTCAGCAGATCCGTAAAGATTTACAAAACCTCAGAAATGCTATCCAGGGTCACTGTGAGTTGGATTTGATTCTATGGCAGTAAGCTTGGTTTGGTTTGATGTTCAAGTGAAGGTTACAATATAGTGGAGCAGAAGATGAATAGAGACATGCCATCCCACCCTGCATGGCACCCTCTACCCCGTAATCTAAGGAAAGTATTATCATGTGACTAAGTACCTAAAGAAACATTTAAGATATATTTAGTGCAATAATAATTAGAAGGAGCCTTGGTGGCATAGTGGGTAAGCATTGGGCTACTAACTGCAAGGTAAGCAGTTTGAAACCACCAGCTTCTCTGTGGGTAAAAAACAATGCTTTCTCCTCCAATAAAGAGTTAGAGTCTCAGAAATCCACAGGGACATTTCTACTCTGACCTACAGGGTCACTGTGAGTTGAAATATACTCTCTGTCAGTAAGTTTGGGTTTTTTTATTATAACAATTAGAAGGGTATCTGGTGGTGTGGTGGACGGAGCTTCAGGTTGCTAAACACAAGGTCAGGAGTTCCAACCTACCAGACACTCCACAAGACCAAAAGGAGACTGTCTGCTTCCATAGATATTTATAGTCTCAGAAATCCTATGAAGCAGTTCTACTCAATCCTTGGGCTGGAATCAACTTGATGACAAGGGCTTGAATTGGGTTAGAATAATTCAGGGAGAGAAAAAAATCTGCCTTGTGTGTCAACAGCCCTGGTGGTACAATGGCTATGTACTTGGTTGCCAACTGAAAGGTCAAGGGTTTAAACCAGTTACTCCCTCAGAGAAAGGACCCTGTAATCTACTTCTGTAAAGATTTCACCTAGGAAACCCTATGAGTAATCCCCGTGTGTCACTGTGAGTCCGAATCAGCCTGACAGCACCAAACAACATTTTACATGTCCAGAATAATTGACAAAGAAATTTCTTTTTAAACAAGGAGAAATTCTCTCCTATGGTTTTATTTCCCATGATTAGTATGAACAATTAGGTTCCCAGCCGTTTCAAGAAGGCTAAGGTCAACGCAGCTGCATGTTACAGAATTAACTCAAAGACACACAGGACAACCACAGGGCTCACTCGCTGTTAACACAGTCATCTTATTAAGCACCAACCATGCATAAATCTTTATCCAAAAGTTTTCTTTCAGCATGGTTTCAGTGGTCCTGTCGTTTCTTTCTTTTTTGAGAGGACAGAAAAATAATTTATTCCAGAAGATGGCAGAAATAAGAAATTCATTCTAAAATCGGAGTTTGGGGTGGTTCCATCACAGTGTGGCCAGATCATCCCTCTGTACGTAGCATCCTGTTGCCCCAGTGGAGTCCCTTCTGCTTCGAAGCCATTTCTGGGCGGGTCTTGAACTCTTTGCTGCCCCTGGTGCTATGAATGGGCAGAGGACCACCTTCAAATCCACAGTTTCCAAAGAGAGGGCAAGGTTTCTGCCCGAAGAAGAGCACCTATTTCAGAAAAGCGCATACATATTTTGCGAAATCGGCACAGTGTAGGTGAAGTAGGCACAAGATTCATTGAAGTGTTAACAAGGTGGCCGGAAGAAAATACCGCGCTTCAGAATAAGACCTTCAGAGGTGAGGCAGATGTCTTTTGTAAGGCAGCGGATGCTCAAACAGGCAGATCAAGGAAGGTGGTCCGGGTTCGGAGGTGATTTTGCACCAAGAGGAATTCTCTCGGTGGCCTCAGTGACAGGCACTGTCATGATAGTCGTCGTCCTCAGGGCCAATGGTCGTTGTGATACCAGATGGTCTCGTGTTTCAGCTGGGGTCCAAAGAGAGGGCTGAGTTGGGCCAGCATGGCAATCAGCCGGAAGAGGTAGTAGCAAACCGAACAGGTTACCAACATGGTAATGACCCCTCGCTTGGGATCTTTAGGGATAAACCAGGGCACCATGAAGCCCACGAAGCCCCAGAGCACGCTCATCACAATCAGAGGCACTGTGAGGCCGTTGTACGCTATGGCTGTCGCCTGAGTTGCCAGACCCGGCCCAGCGGCCTCACTGTGGTCGGTTTTGTTTCTAAGATATCTACATATAAATACTAGACAGAAGGAAAGATCAACAGATGTTTGTTGTTGTTGATTTGTGTCTATACATATTTTAAAATCATTTTCTTGGGGGCTCAGACAACTCTTACCACAATCCACACATACATCCGTTGTGTCAAGCGCATGATCAACAGATTTATAGTCAACAGAACTGGCTGTGAATCAAGATCTCTCTTCCTTTCACAACCATAAACAAGCCCCTTAACTTCCAGGGGTCTTGGCATCTATGAATATAAGGGAACGACCGGAACGATGCTTCAGAGTTGCGGTGACCATTCCATGAGCGGATGGACAGGAAACCCTGCGAGAACCGGGCCTCCAGGGGACGGCTTCTCTGAGCCTCCAAAGTTGTCAGCCTTTCATACAGTGCAGGCTTTTCAATTGCTTGCATTCATGGAAAATAAGTGTTTGCCCTCTCTGACAGAATTCTGCCTTACGCGAGCTCTGGCTTGCTCAGGTGTTAGGGTAAGTGCTGTACATTAAGTGTTTATAAAAATGATGCTCAGAGTGGCTGTGTGAATGTAGAATTGCCAGTTTCCCTGTGGCTTGCAGTGTTCTAGTCCATTTACTCCCTTTCCTTGGCAAGCGCCTTGTGTCAAGTGCAGGAGGCACCTATCAACGGCCCATACACTGACTGAGGGAGTAAGCAGTGCCTTCACTCTGGATGGAAAAGCTCTGCAGGCAAGTTTCAAATACATGAAGAGACAACAGCAGAGTCTCTCTTCCCAGTGACTGTGAACTAGGACCTAGTTCTACGGGAAGAATGATTCTAGAATGACTGAAAGCACCATGGACCCGAGGGGAATACGGTTCCTCCGGGCACGTCAGCCTTTTTAAGTCCGAGAAGCTTTGCTTTCACCTCTGAAGGACCAGCAGAACCCAAGGACTGGCTGGTCCTAGGGTTAAGACACAAACCACAGAAAATTATGATTTCCTCTGAGAAAGGGCCCAGGGGACTCCTTGCGTGGTCGGAAAGCAAGTGGTACTAGTCTGTCTGTCTTACTCTGGGGTTCCGCAGGGATACACTGTGCCTTTTTGAGATAACAAGGATTCTACTTGTTCAACTTTTCCAACCACATTGCTGATTGGGATGTGAAAAGGTCAGGTGTAAAAAGGGATCAATGTCCTTTGTGTCTCCGAGGTGTTGTCTCAGGAAAGGGAGCTGAGAGCGGCAACCTCTAACAAAGCTGCCAAGGCAGTGAACAGACAAGACACAGTGACCAAGGCTGGTAAAGGGAACCCCGAAGAAGAGAGGAAGAGGCTATCTAAAGAGCAGAACACAGCCTCAGTTTCTCAGCCTTCTCTCATGTCAGACCTTTGGAGATGCAGTTAGCACTTGGGGTAGAAGAGGAGGCTGAGGGTTGTGTACATTTCATGATCTACTTGTTGGGTGGTCAGAAGAATAAGAAATGATGAAAAAGTGCATGATTCCCTGATTCCAGAACAGGACACTCACACCAAGCCCAAACCACTGCCACTTCAACTCATAGCAACCCTACTGGGGAAAATTGAGAGAACTTCCCAAACAGAACAATCCCAATGTTGTGGGACCAATTTAAATCCACAGAGGCACTATGGGGAAGTGTAGGATTGGCCTGTGGGGGTTTCTAAGGATGCGACTCTTTACCAAAGCAGATGACCACATCTTTGTCCTGGGAGGTGGCAGATAGGTTTTGAAAGCAAGCCCTCCAGTGCTTAGCACTGTGCCACCAGGGTTTTTCGTCTGATGAAATGCAATGTGGTGCTAATCATCCAGGTTAGCACCCCCATGCCTGATTACCTCCTGCTTCTGTGATCAGACAAAAAATATCTGTTTTGTACACTGTGTAATGAAATATACAAATCTAGGAATATAAAACCAAATAAGGGAAGATCCTAAGAGTCCTTTATCCATGCTATAAGAGACACGCACCCATGGAGGCTTTCCATCTCACCCTACAGTTTTAAAGTCAGGGAGACCCGCTCATGCCAGGATGTCCCCTGTTATACACTCTCTGGAATGATGCAAAGCACCATGGACCCTAGGGGAATGAGGTTCCTGCGGGGCCAACAGGAATAAGGTTCCTGTTGTCTTTCACTATTTCCAGGACTGTGTATGTGCCTCATATATACAACTGGATCAGGATATACAGGCACAACACTCTTGGAGTTTTCCATCTGGATGGAATTGTCATCCTAGTACTCTGGTAGGCATTTCAGATCTCGATACAACCATGTTGGACACAATGATATTTAGGACAAATACAAGCCTTTAATATGACCTCGCAATTGTTGTGAAGATGAAAACACTGAGCAATAACACATGGATGGGTATGTAATCATCTGAATGATAATCTAGAGTGAAAGGTGTGAAGCCTTAATTAGTGTTCTTGGTTTTACTGCTCTGGATCCGAGTACTCATTGCCAGGGCTACACAGAACACACAGACATTAATTCATGATTTAAGGGTTTATGAAGGAAGCTAACAAGCTGGAAGCCAGTCAGAAATGCTCAGCATTGAACTGTTTCACAGGACATGTTACAAGGCTCTGACAAATTGGTGAATGAATGTCCAGAGGCCATACCACAAAGGCGTTCAGCTCAAGCTCCATGGGTCAGCAAACCCAGCTCCCTGAATTAAATGAGGCATCCTACTCTTGGAAGCCTCAGTCCAAGGCACTCAGCTCCACTTCTGTGGGCTAGGATGTCCTACTTCCCCAATGAAGCGCCCAGAGGCATCCGCTTCACACGCCAGCCTCCCGCACAGAACCACTCAGTGGTACCTGCTCCTTGGATTGGGAACTACGGCACTCTGTACCGACTCAGGCTCCTGGTCCTGCTGCTGCTCCTCTGGTGTTTGAGCTCTCTTCTGGATCCAGAAGTTCACCTGGCAGGGATCTCAGATCCAGAGGATACACTCCACTCCTCGCTCTTGCTAGTGATGAGATCCTTCTGCTTGCTTCTGGGAGTGCTCCTTGTATACACAGCAGGATGCCATTCCATGGACTCCAATTTGCAACTACTCACAGGTGAATCCCATCAGTAATTTCCTCCTACTTTCTATCAGACCCATGCAGGGAAAGGTCTTTTGGTGGGACTGAGAGACTTTAACTAGAAGCACCACGTTAAATAACCCATGGCCCTAGCAAAAGGTTGGTAAGTTGAGGAGCTTTACTATCACTGCCACTATGCCTCCACGGCCTTCTCCTTCCCATGTTCTGTTACTGTGAGTGGCATTACTCTCTGTTGAACCCTTTATTTCTATGAGCTCATTAACTTAACCCTGTGATGGGTCATTAGTGGTTTCATGGTAGAAGTCTTGCCTTCCAGTGGGAGGCCCACTGTGATTTCCTACCAATGCACTTTACGTTTGGCCACCGTCCTTATGGCATTGAGGGCTTTGTATTGTTGTGATGTTGAATAATTTTCAGTGGGGCTTCCAGACTAAGATGGACTAGAAAGAAAAGCTGAGGGCTTTACTTCTGAAAATCAGTCTATTAAACTCTTAGAATCACAGTGAAAATCCTAAGAATCACAATAGTCTGATTCAAAACCACTCAAGGTGACGGTACAGCAGGACAGGATGTGTTTATTTCCCATGTGCAGAGGTCACTATAAGTCAGGGGCCAACCAGACAGCAGTTAAGAAAAGTAACCCTGTGAGGGCTGGACGCCTGGCATTGTCACCGGTTAGCTCTGCAGTACAAAGGAAATTATTCAAATGTTCTATGAGTCTCTCTCATCATGTGTAATATACAGAATATTATAATCCTGCTCGGTGGGTTATATTAAGCATTATGGAAAATAAGAACAAGAGCTCAATAAATTAAACTTTTATCAATATAATCTCTAAATTTGTACCCCAGGCTCATGTCTCTTGCTCAAACTTTTGATTTCTTTTGTTACTAACACATGACTGTAAACAAATATATAGGTTATATGATTATTTTTTAAGTTATATTATTTTTAATTGGACTATTTTAAAACACAGCACAGATTTATTTTAGCCTATATTACTGAGCTGTACCTACTTAAGATGAAATAAAGGCCTATACCTACTTAAGATGAAATAAAGGCCTACGAATAATGAGAAGAGAGGAAATGTAATTGTTCTGGGATTCAACTACCTTGAAGTTTGGCTGAGCTAGTTATATAATGCTAGTCTGAGCCCCTGGTTGCAGGCACTGTGTCAATTTACCTCGTCCAGGACCTTCCATTTTTCACTGCCCCTCTCATTGACCAAGCATGATGGCCTTCTCCAGTGTCTGGTCTAATTATATAATAAACATACAAACTTTGTGGGAGTGGAATCCCAGCATAATTCGTATTGTTCTCATCTCAGTTTCCCTGAGTCTCTATTTCATCTTATAAGGAATAAGGAAGACCAAAGGCGATTTGATGCACTTGAACTGTGGTGCTGGAGGAGAACGTTGAAAGAACCGTTGACTGTCAGAGGAACAAACAGATGTCTTACAACACGTACAGCCAGAATGCTCCTTAGGAACAAGGATGGTGAGACTTCGTATCTCATATTTTGGACATGCTAGCAGGAGAAATCAGTCCCGGGAGCAAAAAAGCAGAAGGTTCTGGACAAGATAGACTGACAGTGTGGCTGCAACTACAGGCTTAAACCTCACAATTCTGAGGACAGCACTGGCCTGGCTGTATTTCTTCCGGCCTATGTAGGGCCACTATCAGTCGGAACTGACTAGCTAGAACTTAACAACAACAACAACAACAACAGGATATAATGAGGAAGCAAGTTCTACACTATTCACTAGTTTTATTTTCTCAGAACAAATAGTTAAGTAAACAACTTATGAATAATAGATTAAACCTCATTCAGATGTTAATATTAAGGAGTCCACTCATCTGAATTCTTCCCTTCAGTGGGTGAGAAGAAAGGATTAGCCAATTGCCCACTTGAGAGGTGGGCAAAGGACTTGAACAGAAGTTTCAGAGGCAGAAATCCGAATGGCCAACAAACATATGAGAAAATGTTCCTGATCTTTAGCCATAAGAGAAATGCAAATTAAAACAACAATGAGGTACCATCTAACACCCACAAAGGTAGCCCAATTCAAAAAATCAGAAAGCAGCAAGTGTTGGAGGGGCTGTGGGGAGACAGGAACTCTTATCCACTGCTGGTGGACTTGTAAGTATGTACAACCACTATGGAAATCAATCTGGGGATATCTAAAACAGATGGAAATTGAGTTACCATACGACCCACAATTCCCCTACTGGGCATCTACCCAGAAGAGGCAAGAAACAAACCAAGGCCAGATATCTGTGCTCCAATGTTCATTGCGGCACAGTTCACAATTGCAAGGAGTTGGAAGCAACCCAAATTCCCATCAACTGATGATTGGATTAAAAAACTGTGGCATATGCATACAATGGAGTACTACGCATCGCTAAATAGCAGTGATAAACGTATGAAGCACATCGCTGCTTGGGAAGAGCTGGAGGAAATCATGCTAAGTGAAGTAAGTCAGGCACAAAAGGACAAGTACAACATGAGTCCGCTGAGGTAAGCTTTAAAAAAAAATGCAAAAGGGGCATAGGGAAAAAGCTACTGTATGTAAACATTCCTGGGGTGAGGTTCAGGCAATGTGGCAGGGACCAGATCAAATACAGGGATAAACATGGCAGACAAGTACAACATGAGTCCGCTGAGGTAAGCATTAAAAAAAAAAAATGCAAAAGGGGCATAGGGAAAAAACTACTGTATACAAACATTCTTGGGGTGAGGACCGAGTAGTATGGCAGGGACCAGATCAAATGCAGGGATAAACATGGTACACAACTGAGGAGGAGGTGGGAAAAGGGAACAAAAAAAATGATGAAAATAAGGAAGAAATGGGAAGCGGGGGCAC